CCGCGTATTTATGAGTGGCGGCCGCAGAGCCAGTGCTGTCTGGGATGTGTTCCAGCGAATGGGGAGGGGAGTCTCTCTCTTCAGAGCCCTTTGCCGCAGTCTAGGGTCTCGCTCCTTTCCTCTGCTCTTACCGGCCCTCTTCCTCCCTGGACCTCAGGAGAAAGTTTTGCTCATTTAGAAGGTAGACGTAGTTGGTTCCCAAGAAGGGGATGGGCCACAAGGAAAGAGAGACCCCAGTTGAGCCCCTAGCACGCCCCCCCCTCCAATTTTTCTGGGAAGCCCCAGCCCCTCACTTCCAGCCTGTTTCCCTTTACACCTATCCCGAAGTCACCCAGGGACACTCCAACTGCTCGCAGCCCAACAGATGCCCTCGTGCATACGGCCTGGGGCCCACAGTAATGATGGGGAGAGCTCCACAGCCAACACTCAAATTAAGGCCCCCCAAATGCGGACCATCGCTCCTTAGACCTGTTCCAAAGGCCAGCAGGCCAGCGGGCAAGATTCTGCCCCTGCTGCAAACACACAGCAAGGTGTCTAGAAACCCGCTCCTGAAGGAGGCACTGCAGCCCAGGGAGCTGAACGTCACAGTACCAGCCGCACGGAACCCCAGCTCTACCCTCCCAGACCCAAGGGCAAAGGGAATAAACTCGGCCCCCAAGCTGGTGGGCTAGACGGGCAAGGAAAGGCTGCGGGAGTCTTACGGAGGTATCTTAGGTTTTACGAAGGCATTCCACACACGAAATATCTAATTCTGCATGTCGTTTTCCTCTCCTTCCGACAAAAGGAGGTCAGATCGTGGGTCGTCAGCCTTGACAGTGTTGTCCGTCTGTTCATCTGTGCCCCGCTTGACTGAGACTGTACGTAGCTTCTCTCGCTCTCCACCGGCCCCTGCGTTCTTCCGCATCCGCCCAGCTCTGAAATCAACTCTTGTTTGGCCAAGTCCACCTTGCACCAGCGAGTCAAGCCGCCCCCCTTGTAGAAAACCCTCCACCCTCCACCCCCTGCTAGGTCAACCCCCGCCCTAGGCAGGAAAGCCAGGGCTGGAGAGGCCCACGGAGAATTTATTGAGAATCGATGCCCGAGCTCCCTTCCGGGGTAAGTTGTGGCGGACAGGGAGGAGCAGAGGCTCGGGCGCAGGGCGTTAGGCGCATTCCTCCCCACCCTGCCCGCGGCCATCCGTCCGTACCCACCGGGAGGAGCCCCCGGGGCTTGGTGGCTGCCCGCCCTAGCGCACAACCAGACCGGCCCCAGCGCCGGTCTTTGCTTCCCGAGACTCGGGCCTGGATGGCCATCTGCGCGGCTGCTCCGCGCACGCTTCTGGGGAACAGTCCCGCGTGCAAAGGAAAGACGCGGAACGGCACCGAAACTTCAGGCCGAAGCTTACTCTCTGCTTCCGTTGCGCCCCCACGTCTCCAGTCCCTTTCAATTCCGTGGACTCTGGCTTCTGCGTCTCCCGCCCCTGCAAGGGGACATTCCAGTAGAACTTTTTTTTGCTTTGTCGGTGGCTGTCGTGAAATTGTGCTGTGTTTTGTGGTTTCTTTGGGGGTGGGGGGTGTGATTGTCTCGCCTGTTTTCAGTTGTCTCTTATATGGGAGGGTGGTGGGTGGGAGTGGGGAGGGTAAGGGACCTAGAGCTCTGATTGTTTTGGAAGAAAAAAAAAACAAAACAAGAACAAAAAATATATATCACTCTAGAAAATAAATCTCTTCTTGTGTCTGATTCTGTGTTGGCTCGCCTCACCTGGCCAGTGATAGAGATCCTTGTTCCAAGAGGGTGGCTTGGACAAAAGAGCGAGACCCCTGTGCCCAAGACCCTGCTCCTTAGACCTTGCAGAGCAGGCTTGGCTCCAAGGTCCCAAGACCACTGCTTAAATTGAGCAAGAGCCTTCCCACAGGAGAGCTGGGAGATTGGAGGGAGAGGAAAGGGAAGATGAACAGTTTGGAGAGGGGTCTGGTCTTGCTTTCCCCAAAGTTGCCCGGGGACCTCCCCACAAACTCCACAGAGCCAGAGAGAAGACTCCTGAAAGCAGTTCCTTTCAGCCGACAGAGAATGCCCCTTTGGTTTGGTCACTTTAAAATATCATGCAAGTAAGGAAGACGGTAACTTCCTTCTGCTGATCCCTGCAGCAGGAGGACTGGTTAGGCAGAGGCCTCTGGAACGCTCAGAAGGACCTAATGAACCCCTCAGGGTTCTTGGTCCCCAGCTGGAATTTGAGGCCCCAATTTGAGCCAAAGGTGGCTGCCTTGGTATAAAGCGGGTGGAGGTTGGTGGGGGTGGAGACCTGGGAAGGCAGCTCCCAAAGGCAAGGAGAGAGGATTGGAAGTGGAACAGAATTGTCTCCCAAAAAAAAGAAAGAAAAAATTCCCTTTCCAATCAGACTGCAGAACTAAATTCTGTTGGGAGAGGCACCTTTCTGTCCCTCTCAGATTGTGATGTCCCCGCCAGAGGCCCTTTGAAGACTGCTGTCCTGGGGCAGCCCTGTTCCTCTCAAACAGGCTTTGGGATTTGGCTTCTGCTGGGCTGGCGCTTAGGAAGCCAACCTCCTGCCCGAGCCTCCGACCGGCCACCCCAGTGGGCCGCAGCCACCCAGGACCCTAAAGGTCTTGGGGTAGAGGTGGGGACAAAGCATAACCTGAGTGAAAGGATGCTGGAAGTGAACAGGCCAGGCCTACCCCTCTCCAGCGAACAAAGGGGTGTGCTAATCAGAGAGCGAGCAGGAGGCAGGAGAAAGCAAAGGCTCCTGGACGTGGCCGGGCCTGCCGCCCGCATCCTCCAAGGGTTCCACTCGAGATATAAAATGAATCTGGCTTTAGAGCCCGTGTAGACTAGGCTCCCGCCTCATGCTGGCCTCCCCGGAGCCAGCCGCGGCTGAGAGTGAGCCGAGAAGGCCGGGTCCGCCCGGAGGAAACGCAAACAGCAAGAGGAGAGCTGCGGGGACGGGGGCGAGGGCGCCGGGAGGAGCCTCCAGCGGCGTCTGGGTCCTTCGCGGTGGTGGCTTCTTTAAAGACAAACAAAGGCGAAGATGCGGAGGCTGGAGAGCCGGAGACGGGGAAAGCGGTTGTCATAAAAGAGAGCGAGAGATTCGGAGACGAGGACCGCGAGAGTGCGAGACAGGGTGGCCGGGAGAGGAATTCAGTGCCGTGCGCGCAGCAATAAAATAATATGACCGCTATAAAAGTTTATAGCGTATAAATTTCTGAAGGTTAAGAAACTAAACAGCAGCAAAGCAAACAGTGAGGGGAAACTTTCCGGAGCTGAGAGAGCCACAGCTGGGCCTGGGCTCGGGGTCTGGCGGGGAAGGGGGGGGAATGGGTGGGACTGGCTCGGAAGCCCCCCACCCTCACTGCTCGGTACCGGGTTTGAGGTTTCCGGGGCCCCAGGGGGCAACGAGGGGAAAAGAGGGAAGGGAGAGAGAAAAATATTTTGTTGTCACAAATGCTTTAGAGAACGCAATTGGAACTCTGGTCTTTGTTCTTCACACCCCCTCCAGAATCGGACGTCATAAAGAAGCCCCCTGCACACACACACACGCACACACGCACGCACACGCACAGAGGCACACACACAAGCACAGAGGTCCGGCGGGGCCAGACGTCTGGGCGCGGGCAGGCTCTTGATCCTTTTACAGTCCCATTCCTCCCTCTCAGGCCTCCTCTCCCCCCACAAAAAGCCCAATTGTTTCTTCTCAGAATTTGAAACAATCGTGTTGGATTTGAAAAGTGCTCGGCTCCCTCTTTTACGGGCTATAAACGGCGCACTGCTTGGCGGTCTCCACCAGAACTTCTGGTCTTGAAATGAGGGGGG